TTAGTTACTTAAGATAGTAACCTAGAATTTTTCTATTTGAATGAATTTAAAAATTAGAAGTTATTTCTTGTTATTACTTGGGTGTTGGTCAAGTAATTTTGCTTATAAATAAGTAAGAGTTAGCATACTACAAAGACATACACGAGAGAAATTATGTAGCCTTTATTTAGGGTGAAAAGGTTATTGGGAGAGAGATTATAAAGGATTAGGACTTGGGATTCAAGTTGTATTTTTGTGTGAGGGTTTTTTCTCATAATACAGAACATGATTCTCCCCATAGACGTAGGTTCAATGATGAAACTGAACCAACCAATTTAAATCTTATATGTTGTTTGCTTGTGGCTTTTTATTATTAAACTGTTGTGTATTTAATATCTCAATAATGGTTTATTCCGCATCTGGATCCCAACAATACTAGTGATAACTTATAAGTTTTCTAACTTTATGTCAGTATTTGTCCTAGTGGTTAGTTTTTTTTTGTGATAACAAATAAATTTCATTAACAAATTGTTGGAAATCGTCTAACACAATTTGATGTACATCATTGCTCTAATGGATAATTAAACAAGCACTAGAAATTATAGATTTGCAATTTAATAGATACAATAGATCTGAAAAATTATGAACATAATTGAAAAGTACAAAAAATTTCAAGTTGTACTCTAACAGATAGATCACTGCAACTCCCTCCTGTGTCTATTGCAATTAGAGCTGTTAAGTCAATCAAGTAGCTCGAAAGCTCGTTAGAATTCGACTCGTTAAGGCTCGAGTTCGGCTCGTTAATTTTGGTTAACGAGTCGAGCTCGAGCTCGAAACATGCTCGTTTAGTTAACGAGCCGAGCTTACTCGACTCGTTTGATACTCGAGTAGCTCGTTAGAGCTCATTAATGAAGGGCATATTTGTCATTTTAGAAATCAAAATTATAAAAATTATAAATTATAGGTTTTTATTAAGGTTAATTTGCACGAGCTCCACGAGCTCGACTCGTTTGTGATAAACGAATCGAGCTCGAGCTCGAGCTCGAACCACATGTACATTTAACGAGCCGAGTTCGAACACATTTTCAAACTCGTTTTCCTAACGAGCTCGAGTCAAGCTCGGCTCGAATTAAACTCGAGTCAAGCTCGGTAGCCAAATACTCGGCTCGACTCGGCTCGATTAACAGCTCTAATTGCAATCGTCGGATCTATTCATCAATAGTTTTAACCTCCAATATTGATGATGAAATCTATCGAAATAGATCCAAGATCCAAAAACATTTCAGATCTGACAAGCAGATTTGAAATAAATTCAAATCTAACAACAAAAGAAAAAGAAAAAGAAAAGGAAAAAACAGAAATTTTCATATGAATTCCTAGGAGAATAGAAAATTCGCACTAAGAAACCCCAGAAGAAATAGAAAACTCTCACTAAAAAAAATTAGAAGATATTTTATTGAAAAAAATGAAACGAGATTCATGGGAGGGAGACTGTGGTGTGATCTCCCTCCTTAAGGGGAGGCTTTTGAAAAGAGAAGAAGAAATAGAGAGAAATTGTCCTTGTGATTAGTTTATTGTAATTTGAATAAGTTGTAATTTGTTTATGAATTGCTCAATGGTGGATTACCTAATCTTATAAAAGATAATGCTACGGAATTCTCTGTTGCATCCATATTCACTTAATCCACAAAAAGTGGTACTTGTACGAATTGCACAATAATTTTCGCCAATTAAAAAAAAAAGACCTCAGAACTGAAAAAAAGACAAAAGGAACGAACAAATCCGATTTGAAAAAACCACTTATAAAAGTGAGATCCAATTCGAAAACTGAAATCAGAATTAAAATCCAAGAGGAAATCCGAAGAAATTGTACTTTCTTCAACTTACAGGATGAATTTTGGACTTCAATATAATACTGGGGAATTGTAAACATGAAACTAAGCACTTTAGTCGATAAGGTCCCTAAGAAAATCGTAGACATTGTCTGTGGACCCTTTTTTTTCTTCAGGACTTGCGGTTTCGAGCGTTGCGTGACTTTGTCAGGAGAATTTTGTTACAATCTTTCTTCTTCTTCCTTTGTTTTCTTGCACTTTTTCTCTTTTTTCTTTTGGCGGTTCAAATACGCAAAAGGGCCACCATTACGCCCTTTGTCATTCAATCTTACCAACAAATAAAGCTTCGCCTCAAATTACACCCTTCTCTCTTTCTGTATCTTTCGATAGTTTAGTGTCATACACACACGTCTAAATCTTTTTGTGTAGAAAAATGTGCAATTAAAAGAATTGAGTGGAGGGTGAGGTGAGTTGAGGGGTACGGGGGTGGGAGTGTAAATGAGAGGTTTTGAGTTTAACAACTTCTACCCGTACTAAAAAAAAATTAATAAAATTTAAAAGGACTGAGTGATGATTTTACAATTTTCTTTTGTATATAATAGACACATAATTTGTTATCAGTGTCCTTAGGCACGTTAAAAAAATAAAAAAGAAGAAGAAGAAGAAGAAAACTAGTCCTCTTGAGACACACGGCACATCAAATTGAATTTGTCAATATTGTGAGCTTTGGTGTAATTTCTTTGGGGGTAATTTAACAAAATTTGGTATAAACTTAAAGAAATCTAGTGGTAATATTGAATTTTGTTTTTGTATACTAGATCACTCTTATATCAATTACACCTGTCAACAACACTCAACAAAACTCAATTGTAATCCATTTTTTAAGGCCAACCAAAGAGGTGGAAATCTATTTTGTGCATCAATTGTAAGGCACGTTCAGTGCCCAATTTGTACGTTATTTTCTTAAACGGTACAAAACTATTTCATTCATAATTATTTCTTCCTAAAAGGTGCATATTCATACGACTACAGGATTGCCAACGCGTCATGCTCTGCCCCAAATTCATAGCCAGAGTCTAACAGAATGCCTCAAACAGGAAAAGATGGTTTAAAACAAGGGCAAACGTCATGGCACATATTGCCAATCATGATACAAGATACTGTTTGATAATTAAATTCATCACTTAATTCAGAGTTTAATATGTTTAAACATGTTTGATGATCAAAAAATAAAACATCATAATTAATTAAATAATTTTAAATTACTTAAGAAAAACTTACTCCAAAAAATAAATAATAAACTGTTTAATTATCATTTAATACAGAATATATTTAAAATTTAATAATTTAATATATTCAAATTTCAAATTTCAAATTTCAATTTTATGAAATGTATCCAAGTACAAGTCTACAAGTTTACCACGGCTCCAAGAAACTAGTCTTGATACGTATTGAAAGCACGCTCAAAGCTAGTGTCATCTCATAGGCCACGTGGACAACTATTATCATTTCTAAGCAGCCCATAACAATAATTTGCTGAGACAGGCTTCATATGTCAATTTCGTATTGTCCAAACTCCAAAGTGAAGATAAGGAACAACGGGCTAGTTTTTAAAGATTGCAAAAGATAAACCACGTGTCGTGCTTTTCCCTGGCCGTTCACATCAGACACTGCGAAGCTACAATAATAGAAGAGACAGATTAATAATCCCTTGAGATGTGGTTTGTGATCTGATAAGTCTTTGATCAGTTTGCAAAGGACCTTTTGGGGACTTAGCTCATAATTTATTCCATTGTTCTGCTTCTATTCAAATTTGGGCTGATTTTTTCTCGAATTAATACTTTGCCCTCAATCAGGTTTAGAGCTTTGGGTGAAGGAGATTCTTTGATCTTTATCTTTGAAGATTGTGAGCTTTTTGCAGTCATATCCTATGAGATCAGGAATAATTGCAATGCAGAAATTTTCAATGGAAATTGAAAGATCCTCTGTCCATGATCAGCTTTGCATCACACCATCTTGCTAGAAGCCAACCACCATTATCCTATGAGATCAGGAATAATTGCAATGCAGCAATTTTCAATGGAAATTGAAAGATCCTCGTCCATGATCAGCTTTGCATCACACCATCTTGCACGAAGCCAATCACCATTCCAGATCTCAATCCTAGCCGTACAAGTCGAACGTCGTTCGCCCCACCATTTATTCAAATACAAAATTAATTTTCACGCATCGGTTTCCACCTGCAACAATCTGTTTGGCATTGGCGTGGTTATTCGTGATCATGAAGGCGTGCTTATTGCTGTTTTGTCCCAAAAATTTGAAGGGATGGCAAACGCATAATTGGCAGAATCTTGTGCTGCGTGGGAAGCTGTTAATCTAGCAGATGATCCAAAGCAGCAAAGAATTTGATGATCCCAAACTTTGTATTGGAGGGAGGGAGATGCAACCTCCGTTGGAGTGTTCATCAGCCAGTGATCGGTAATTCGACTAAAAAATAATTCAATTTTTTACGATATTTTTTTCCAGTAGGTCTAGCATTTGATTACCATCCAAAGCTTTATTTGGTAATTTGAGTATTGATAATTGAATTTTGGTAGGCTAATCGGTATTGTAGTAATATCCAAAATTAAAAATTGGGTTTTTTGATGTATATCAGTTAAGCATTTTAAACAAAATTGAGGTTATTAATAAATTAATTAATGCATTTTTAAGGTCGCACATTCCTACATCAGCATTAGCATACTGGTGGATTAGGAACATACATGTAATATTTAAAATATATCATTAAAATATAAAATTCGGTAATTCAATCAGTATTCAAAATTTTCAAAATCAAAATTAAATAATCATTCCAAACTATTTTACCAAACTTTAAAGATTGGATCAGTTTTACCGAAATTCGTTTTGCTAATATCCAATACAGAATCTAAATTTGATCGGCCGGAAAATTTTTCAGTTTTTTTGAAACAATTTGCACCCCTATGCCTCGGTCATTTTTTTTAAGGAAGATTATGATACTCTTTCCGATATAGGTCCCAATGATAGAGGAAGTACATTTAGTTTTATTAGATCAAAACCTATTAGATATCGATTAAGTTCCTAGAGAAGCGAAATAGATCGTGCATGGGCCATTTCATTATGCAAAAAACGGCCAACATAGTTGAGTCTCTATAGAATTACCCTGTAGACTTTGTCAAGCAAATTGTACCGGACGGTTTTCAGCAATTTTATTAGTAAGATTTCCAGCAATTTTACTGGTAATATTATCGTGTTCTGTTTTATAATAATAAAAAGGGTGCAATGATAAAGAAGTACCTCCAACAAATGACGATCCAACAACTTATGCATACAGGTCTACTCCCCAAAACTCCGCAGGTTGATTGGTCCGGTAGTTTCGATCCAAAGATTTTATCAGCTCCATGTCCTCTTTTGCAAGCTCAAAGTCGAAAACTTTCAAGTTTTGCCGCAATCTCTCTAGTTTTGAAGTCTTTGGAATGACAACCGTGTTTCGCTGAATGCCCCAGCGAAGAACAATCTGACCGACCGTCTTCTTGTATTTTTCGGCTATACCCTGGCACAACATGGGCAAAGATAAAAGCCCATATACATCTCATAAGTCAATTGCTTGCTTCCTGTCGAAGCTTTGCAGATGTATAATAACTTGAAGATTAAGGTTTCACCTTACCTTAAGAATTGGATCATCCAAACACGATACTGAGCCAAACCATTCCGTATTAGCTACAGCACCCCCAAGAGGTGTGTGGGCTGTAACACAAATGCCATGCTTGTGGCAGAATTTGACCAAAGATTCCCGTTGAAAGTAAGGATGTGTTTCAATCTGGTTCACAGCAGGCTTTACCTTGGAGTAAGCTAAACAATCTCTTGTTAGGAAAATGTCATAGTTGCTGCAAGAAAATTTTGTTAATGCATCAGCAGACGAATAGAATTGATTTTGAAATTTATTCTAACACCACAAGAGAAAAAACAGTCAGATTTTGCCTTCATTAACCTTGAATCAACATAAAATAAGGCCAGATATCCTAAAATGGCATCGTACAACAGAAAACAGGGTAAAAGGAATCTGTTAAAAGTTTAGTCTGCAACATTTCCCCCAGAGTTCATCATTATCTCTCTGCCGACGCCGTCAAATTTAGCTGAAGAGAATTATTGACAGTTTGCTACAGGATATACAGAACCTACAGTTCGCACAGCATATGGACCAGGAAGACAAACATGACATAAACCACTTCATGAATGTTTTTATTCAACTATGCTATTCAGTATTGCATCCGTTTCATTTTCATTTTATTTTCCGTTTGCATCATTGATAGTGAAACTGAAGTGCATGATGGTTTTCACTGAACTGCAGCCTATGGAGTTAACTAGAGCTGCATTCCAGCGGATTCTAGTTGAGTCGAACACTGGTTGATTAAGCTCAAGCTAGGTTCTCGAATAAAAATTTCAATGCTCAAAATTGACGTGAGCTCGATTCAGCTCAATTTCCTCAATCACCTAAAATTTAGCTCAAAATAAATTGGCTATGTATGTCATCAAGCTCAAGCTGAAGCTTGGAAATTGTAACACGGTCAAGTCTCCTCAAGCTTAGAACAAGTTCGGGCTTATAGGACATGTTTTGCCCTCCCAAAAATTCTGAAACCTTAATTTGCATAATATAATGTCCTCAAAGGACAACAGAAAAGCAGAAGACACAGGAAGGAGAAACAGAATTGGCAAGCCTGCAAACAAATTCTTACAACTGGAATAAATAAGAATTTTTATACAAGTAAAAAAAAAAAAAGAATTGATGATAAAATGATCTGCAATCATAAGTTAAAGGGCCAGAAAATGCTGTTGAATCAATTCAAATTTTTGGTACTGTATATGTCTGTAGCTGAACATATTACAGGTGTGTAGATAAATGAAAAATCCAAATAATTTTTTAAAAAAGACGCCAAAAGAATGACGTTCATTCAGAACAAAATACACTAGATTCTATGCCTGTATTTTGATATACCCTCAGATAAACATTTTTTTTGTGCGAGTGTGTGCTAAGGGAAATACACATTCAATGAGAAACACTATATAAACATAAAGAAAAATTCTTGAACTCGACTAAGCTTGAGTTGCTCGAGAAGATCACAAGCCCAAGTAAATAATAATCTAACTCAGCTGATTTGATAACTGAGCATCTTGAACTCAGCTCATGTTCCATGCTTTTGAGCTAAACTGAGCATTAGAACAAGACAAGTCTGAGTTGATAGTTCGGGGCTCAGCCAATTGCAGCCCTGCTGATGCAGTAAACAAAGAGCTCCAGAAAATCTAAGATTAAGCTTTTCATATTTTCCTCAAACTTCAACTAGGAACAGGAATAGTGTCTTTATTTAACTTCATTGTAATTCTATTTTCTAAGATTTAGCAGCTTATATTATTTAGGCCTTATGGGTGTCTTGGTCTTTTTGACATCGCTGAAAATTTCCGAAATTCCAGAATTGTTTTTAAGTCTTTAGTCTGTTACATAAGTAATTGGAGTTTAGAAGGTAACTTCCTTTCTACTACCAGTCAAATTTCCTATTTAGAATATGGAGATAGGAATTTTAGGAAGTTTTTTGTCATAAATACTTGTGCTGTTTGTTCTTCTTCCCCTCTTTTGACCCCACGATTATTGTTCACAGGTACTGTTAACAGCACCTAAACAGGTGACCCGCTAGTGATAGTAAAGCAAGATGTTACCCATCTTGTCCTGCATTAGTTTGGCATCAAAGCCCAAACTTCCTTTCTCTTCATCAGCCATATTTCTTTCTTCTTCTGTATTGTCAACGAACAAACAGAATTTTCTTCAAGGAAATCAACAATGTATGTTTCATCTTTTCATGGCTTATGTCATCCTACAATATTCTATAGCTGGCTTACTTCTCCATATAGGTGTCAATCACAATCCAATGACGCTGAACCACCCAAACCCACACATTAACAAGTGAATTTGGGTATGCAATGAACATTGAATGGGTTTCCATGGGTAACTCAATTAAATCCATTTAATTGGTGGGTAATGCGTTGACTCGCCTTACCCATTTATACCCATTTAAAGATAATTGCACATTTAAACTCAATTTTTGGTGGATGTTAAGCGGATAAATTTGAATTTCTTACCCACCCAATAACAATAAAATGTAGTTATTTCTTATCAACCAACGTTCGCCTGGGGGGGGGTGTTGAAGGAGTAGAATTTTAAGCGGTTCATAAATGGGTAATTGAGTATACCTATAAATGGGTTGACCCATTTTAACCCATTTATGAAATAGGTATAAAGGGGTTGACCCAATTATGACCTTCCCATACCCACCCGAATCCCATTTTGACACCTCTACTTCTCTAGAATATTTCTTTGATCACCATAATCTTGCAGATTATAACAAACCCTATTTGCCAAGGTGAAACTGGTTGGCAAGGCTAAGTTGGTGGTGGTATATAGTCAAATGAGATGTGATGTCACGTAGTGGATACATTTATTTGGAGGAGATGAGAGAACTACTCTTATAAGAGTACTTTCCCTCGTATCGTCATTAGAAGATGTTAGGAGAGTTTTATGGTCAACCACAAGGATATGTGCCAAGGTTTACTCCCAAATATCCAACCCAAATTCGTAATGAACCTCCAACACAAAGTTGGCAGTTTACCAATATAACCAACACAGCCAGAAAAGCACCATTCCCCTTTCATCCAACATGCAGCTAGGGTAGAAAGCACGAATCTGGTTAACAATCCTGTTGTAAAAGCTGAGACATTTAAAAAGGTTTTGGTTGCTGATTGACTACTGGATGTGACAACTGTCTCCAGCACAAAGCAGAAGGGGCTCTTCAGAATTTTGAAAAGGCACCAAAGAAGGAAGCAGATGAGGATAACCCGATGAAAGAAATTCCAAAGATCAAGTCTGGGAGCACAGGAAAGAGGTCCTGGTAACATTGCAAATTCAGCATGTCTAGAAGCAAAGCCTAGAAACGTTTTCTATTCTACTCTATTAGCTCCAACAATTGACATTGTCCTCCGAGAGATCAGAAATTCAGCCAATGACGTCCCACCTTTACTTGTTACTACCTCAAGCACATGGCAAAAGACGCTCTTGGAAGTGTGGTTCTTCTTGCAACTCATTCCAGACTTTCAAGTTCTTTATCCTACAAATCTTGAAAAACTCAAGGTCAAGTTTTCGCCAACTAGGGGGACAGAGTGATGCAGTCAACGAGGAGCTCTAGAAAAATCTAAGACTACGGCATTTTCACATTTTCATCGAGCTTCAACTAGGAATAGGAATAGTGTAATTCTATTGCCTAAGATGTAGTAGCTTATATTATTTAGGTCCCAAGGGTATTTTGGTCTTTTAGTAGTCATTGGAAATTCCCAGAATTCCAGAATTGTCTACGTGCATTTGATAAAACTGAAGTCTGAAATCTGAAATCTGAAGTCTGAATCCATTAAGTTATTGAATTGTTAAGTATTAAATTTAATACATTTAAGTGCATATCACATTCAATGAAAGTAAATAGCTTATCACTTAATTTTGGGAGCAAGTCTTGCCTAGGAAATTCAGTACTACTTAATTAATTTAAATGTTCAATTTTTCGTTATCAAATAGTCTGAATATGTTAAGATCTGAATCCATTAATTTTAAGTGCTGAATTGAGTTTTTATTGAGTCTTTATTCTGTTAGGTAAATAATTGGAGTTTAGAAGGTAACTTCCTAAAAGTTCTTGGACCATGGAGATGGAAGTTTTAGGAGGTTTTTAGTTATAAATACTTATGTTTCCATGTTATTACTCGCAAAGAATTTGATGAATAAAGGTTGAGTTTTAGTTTATTAGTTGTTTGTTCTTCTTCCCCTCTTTTCTCCCAAAATTACTGTTCACAGCCCCTAAACCGGTCACTATCTTCTTAGTCTTCCGCTAGTGCTAGTAAGGCAAGATCTAACCCATTTACATCACATGCAGTCCTCTTAACATGTACTTAAAGATACTTTCCACAATGTTGCTAAACACTATAATAAGTCCAGGGACAAAAAATTAAAAAAAAAACATAAATAAACCACATCTGTCTTTATTATAGCGCCATTGATTATAAGGATGATGATGGAACAAAACAGATCTATATGCAGAGGATTAGACATGCAAGTGAAGTTCTCAAATACCTAATTCCTATGCTGCGAACTAAGCCCATGGAAACTAGATCTTCCATGGCATGCCATGTAGTCTCCAAAGATACAGTAGTGTCAATGTCCAGGATACCATCTTCGCCTATAGCACTTGAAGTGGTACCAATGCCTGCATTTAAGTCAAACAGCAACCAATTCCTTCCTATGAAGAACAAGCTTTCATAGAAGCAATAAGGCAAAAATAGATTTGTACAGGACTAAAGAAGCCAGAACAATTAGAATTCATAACAGATAAGACGGGTACATATCTCAAGAATGTTTTGATACTTATAGAAATGGATATGAACTGAATAAAATCTACCATCCTGTTTGTTCCTGTGCCCATTTTCTACATCAAAAACCCCAACATGATATGTCATGTGTAGAAAATAATATAGGATTAAACTAATGAAATTTCATCTATCTCACTAGTGGCAACTTTCATTTCCCTATTATCAGAAGACTAAATCTTTAACAAACTGAAAGCAATAATAGATCCCAAATGAAGGTCATAAGCTCCAACTAAATTGCAGAATCAGTCTGAGTTTTACAGATGTTAAGTCATGAGTGAATGTAAACCACTAATCTTGTATCACAGTTGTAAATATTCAATCTTCAGAAACTGTCATATATATCTGTTAATAACTTAAGCTCTGATCAAGTTCTTAATTTATGCGGAAACTAATATCTAAGTGAAGATTGTAGAGAAACACTAAACAAATACAATTTTTAAAAGGTGCAATAGCTAAAGCGGAATTACCAGTATGTCTTGTGGCTATAGGAAAGTGAACAAGATATAGATCCAGATAATCCAGGCATAACTTCTTGAGACTGTTTTTACAAGCCTCAACAACATGACCATGATCTGAGTTCCAAAGCTGTTATTAGGAACACCAAATGTAAAAAGAAAAATATGAGATGACTTTCCAATTATTAGTCAGAGCAATTCTCAATCTATTGGACAGTCAAAGCAAACCATAGCTTAAACATGAAAAAAATATGGTTGGCCTTTACTAGCCTTGGTAGTAATAAAAATATCCTCCCGTTTGACCAAGCCTGACTGAAACACTTCTGTAAGTGCCTCACCAACTTCACGTTCATTCTGATAATCAGCTGCAAGCATTGCCAACTTCTCACATGAATAACAATGCACCTCAAGAACTTTGCTAAAGTAACAAGTTGACAAAAATTTTAAGAGCAGAATCACTAGAGCAACATACAGAGAATAGCTAAATTTTTTTGAAAAGGGTGTGCTAGGGGGTTATTTATCAAAGAGGGCATACGTTTGAGTTATTCATCATAAAGTGCAAATGTACTAACCTCAGTACAGGAATGTACTTGCTTTTTCTTTTTCTTTTTTTTTTTTGGAAATGGATAGTACATTCTGCACAACAATCACTACCTAATGTCCTTTACATCAAATGGTTCAAAGTCACACTGTTTTTATTTTTTTTAACTCTCCTAATGCCCCTGTATTACTAATTTTCACTAATAATGGGCCGTGATGATTTGTATCACAAATGAACCTCACCATTGCTTTAATAAGAAAGCTAAATTTCAACTAGAACTCCATGATTTATGGCAATCCAGTCCAGATTAATTTGAGAGTTAATAGAAATTGGTCAAAGCAAGATATGACAAATTCTGGCTATACATAAACAAATAACCATACAAAATATACAGAAATGATTTCTCCTACGCAAAAAAAGAATCCCAATTGAATACAGATTATGTATTAACCATCTAGACCAGGAAGAGCAGGGAAAATTAATCTAAATACGTAACCTTAAAAATTTGATGCAAGAAACCAATTTCCCTCATACAGTACAAAATTAATCACATAGTTTTAACTTCAGAAAATTCTGTTTGAGCCCAAGTTTTTCTTTTTCCTTTCCTTTTCTTTTATGTATCTGCTAAAACAACAGATAATTAAAGATGAACATTATAGACAATAGAGTGCAGCCCAGAACCAAAAATTTACTAATTCCATCCTAAAAAATGAAAATTTTCTTCCAGTAAACAAAATTCCTATAAATCCCACTTCCCTTAACTTCAAATAACTATCCCATGTCACAACTTAATATTCAAAGGAAAACAAAAAGAGGTAACGAACCAGCACAGTCAAAGTGGCGATAGCCAATCTTGACGGCGTTGATGAGCAAATTCCTGATGTCTTTGCCTTCCATCCTCCAAACACCGAGACCCACTATCGGCATTTCGAAGCCGCTGTTAAGAGTAATCGCCATTTTCGGGTGATTATTAAGAAGCCCTTTGCGTGGTGGGAGGAGCAGCTAAGCAAACTGCTTGGTCAGCCACTCTCCACTAAGTGTGTGACTGTGTGAAGCTTTAGGTGGCTTTTCTGGGGATGGAATGAAGCGATAAAGGGCAAATGCAATAAGTTTGGGTTGACTTCCATTAACACCACTGAACTATTTGTTTTAACATTTTAATGTTCTATACTGCTCCCTCCGTCCTACTTTGATAGTTTTGATTCTTTTTTCACACAGTTTAATAAAAAATAATTAATTTTATTGGAACAATCAATTTAGGTAACTATTTTTCTAAAATGCCCTCACATTAATTAGAGCACAACTTTATGGGAACTTGAATTGATGGTAAAAAAAGAATCAACTCTCATTAAATAGGGTAGGTTTATAGTAACAACAACTTACATTGAATAAGGGTATTTTAAGAAAATTAAAATACAACTACATTCTTCAATTGGAAAGTGGACTAAAGTTTGGGACAGACGAAAAAGGAAAACATGACTATCAAAGTGAGACGGAGGGAATATTAATTTGTGACTTTTCTTTTTCTTTGTTACCCAAGAAGGGCTGGATTTAAGAAGCGTGGAGGGGGGGAATTGAATTCGAGACCTCTAGTTTTGGATCTCAAGGTTAAATTACTCTAATTTGTGACATATTGTTTGAATTAGTTAAAGATCAATGATTTTGTTGCCAGTTCTTTATAGTATCGCTTTAATATCCATTCATTGCATCTATTTATATTTTTTAATTTGTGGTATTAAAGTGTTTTAATTGAGAAAACAAAATTTAATAGTTTACGTGGATGTTAGATATGTGTTGCAAAATAATAATATAAGGTACTTGAATGAAATAACGAAACACAATATAATTGGTGAAATGCTTTATCTGTAATAGACATGTTATAAGTTCGAACAATCGAGGAGATAAGTAGGGAACCACTATTGTTCCTCTTTAGTAAAGAAAAAAAAGTATTTGAATGAAAAACTTGACTAGCTTTTGGTCTAAACTGCTAACCATTTATAGTTTAGGGAAACAATTTGCAACTCACAAAGGGGGCAAAAAAGGGGAATGTTGTACCCATCAATTTGAAAAAATGTATTTAAGGAACATGGATAGAAGAATGGTGATAAAAGCAAACTCCAAAATCGTGCATTTTAAAGATTTCTACCGTGTTTAGTCCAATGGCAGGTAGCATTTAGCGTGGGCTATGCCTAGTGAATTTTTTAAAAATTTTTACATCATTTCATGTAAAAAGATTGTTATATATACTTTATTGTTTTTTAATTATGTGATATTAATAGTATTTTGTAAGAAACTTAATTACACTGTGTGATACACCAAATTAAGGTTTATTTATTTTTTTTGTTTTAAAACATTGTTTTGTTTTAAAGACTAGAAACCTTAAATTTTAATCAAAACCCTAGTTCTACTTGAGACTAAAAGGTTGTTATTCAATTAAGTTTATGTATGACAATGCATGTTTTATGATAGGTAATTATAATGGTTGGGTGGTTAGTAAACTAATGAGGTGTAATTAAGCTCATTGGATTATATTAAGTTGGTGATCTATGGAGTTAATTGCAAAGATTAGAAGTTGTTGGGGCCATAGTGTGAGGATTAGCAAAGTAAGTTTACTAGTAATCTTAAAGTTTCTAGGATCTTTCCACACGCAATTTTGATTGGTGGAGAAAAAGTGTACTTTGACTTTAGCTTAAGTTGTTGGTCAATCAAAGAAAAACAAAGCCAAAAACTAAGAGGAAAAGAGAGAGAGAGAGAGAGCTGAGAGCTTCAAGGGAGGAACAAGAGAGAGTTTCAACTTTGGATTCTTGATTTCTTGCTCAATCTTGCAAACTAACTGATAGATTCACCAAATAATCCATAGAAGTTGCTTACGAAGGTGGATTGCTATCTTGGAGTGGAGTATTTTGGTGGTTTAAGCTTCCTAGGGGCTGTTGTGCTTCTCCAAGTCTAGGTAAAGTTGGTATTAATTAGTTCATGGTTGTGTTATTTATTGGTTTACAAGTGAAAGTTATGGCTTGGTTAGGTAGATTTCATGATTTTAGTGGTGGTTATAGTAAATTCCAGTTTTATAGTGTAATTTTCAGTTTTGGTTATTGGAATGGATGGTTGTTCTTGGTGTTCATGTTGTAGTAATGCTTATGCTTAGTTTATAGAAGTAAATTTATGGTTAAAAATTGTTAATTTTGTGGCATATAAAATTCGGCTAGCAAGAAGGGTTTGAATTAGGGTTTTGGTTGATGAATTTATATGTAATCTTGTGTTTATGATGTAGTTGTAGCTTGTGTTGGAAAATTATTGTAAATTTGGTGAATTTCCACTTGTAGCAGAAAGTTTAGCTCTATTCAGAAAATTTCAGCTTTGAGTTAGGGATTTGAGTTGATAATTGAGTGGTTAGCTTGGCTAAGTAGGTATACGAAATGTTACAAGTGGAATGAATGCTAAATTGATGTATATTCGATTGCCGCGGAAGTTTTCAGCTTTGGTTTGGTAATTTCAGCATTTTGCTTGGATTGTGATCAAAGAACTTAGCTTGATATTGCTTTAATGGTAGCTTAGATGTTGGTTTATGATGTGTTTTTCTTGATTTGGTGTATTTGGTGTGTTGATTAGTACAAGTTAGTCATGAGTGAGAAACCAGAAAAAAAAAACAGGGTTTATCAAACCTGTAACTTCGGCTTCATTTTTCACTTTGATCCGTACCAAATCAGCATTTGGCCAAAACACGAAAATTTTAGTTCTATGTTTCAGCTTTCCAACGCATCTGAAAATGCCTCAATCGGAATTTTGTATCTTGAGTTATTGCCATTTGAAGCTAGTTCTAACAAACAAACTGACAATGAAATTCTGGTTTTGTAATCTGCAAATTCGACCTGAATCAACTGAAAACTAGGTTGATTTGTCTTCATGAAAGTTGTAACCCTTTGTTTTAGCTTCAAAATGCTACCCAGTACACCTTGATCCGATAATCACAGCTCCAGTTATGGTTGAAACCGTGCAATCCATTTTCATACCGTTTTCCATCAAGGGCACCATTTTCATTTCCCCACGTGCGCGCGTACGTTTCTTTGTTGTTTTGGCTGTTTTAGTCCTTATTTTTATTATGATGGTTCTTTGATTGATAGTTGAGTATAATCTTCTATCACAGGCAGTGATGACCTGGACGAAGTCGGTGGACCCATATAAATTGCCTTGATTTGCTTGCTAATTATTTTGGGTGAGTAATTGGATTTGGTTATGTAATCAATTGTCAAAGTGCTTTGTATATGTTAAATGGATATTTAGACGAGAGTGTACTTTATCTCACTCAACCTAAGCCCATTCTCTGTTCTTGATTTAATATGTGAGGATACATGTCTTGTGTTGAATTGAACCCCTTGTGCTGTGCGCTGTTAGGGTGATTACATGACTTAAGTATTTTGTTGAATACCTTGTTGAGAGATTGGATATCTCAAGGCTTGATTTCAACCCGGTTCCAGGGGTAGATGGACTATTCGAGCCGACTGGGATTTGGTCAAAGTCAGTTCTATGCTAATCTTGGAATTTTGTTCTTTGTTAAAGCAAAGTGGTTTTACTTTTGCTCGAGCTATTGTGTGTTGATGACTGGCTAGCGGGGGTTGATAAGGTGAACGGGAAAAGTAAGTGGAGTCTACGGACCATGAGTATTTTGGTTGATGGAGTGTTAATAGGCAGTCAAGCTCGAGAAAGTGGACTGGTTTTGAAGCCACTTGTATCCTACTATTGTGATGTTACATTTCTGTTGATTGATGTGAAATATCTTGGTTTACATGTTTATTTGGATGTGATTTTACGTTTTTACCCTGATTACTCTCTGAGCATATAGCTTACCCATTCCATTTGTTTTCCTTAGTAGGGGCCAACGCGGGGATCGCTCGGGAAGGTGTATAATAAAGGTGACTTTTGGTTTATAGAATCGTTGATTTTTACCCTAGTACTTGTTATAAGTTGACTAGTAAGATGTATATATTTGTTATAGCGGTTATAGTTAGTAGCTTCTTTAGGGTTTAATTTCTTGTACTAGTCGTGTGTGTGGTTTGATGTAGTAGTTTTATACAACTTTTGAAGATGAAATAGCATAAATAGAACTCTCTTTCAGCGTGAAATCTATTTTCTTGTTTTTAGGTATCAAGTCCTAGCGCGAGCTAGGCAGATGACCGCTAAACCCTTTGGTACGCCTCTGGATACAGTGGGATCGTCACACACTAGAGATCATTTCTTATTAAAAGGGTAAATGTTATGAAACAATTAAAAGTGTGGATGTCCATTTGTATTCTCAAGAGGACTAATTCATAATTCATTGATCCCAAGGAGATTAATTCATAATTCATTGCTACATTAGGTAAAGGAATTACAATGGAGGAACGGTTTCAATCCATAAACCCATTCATGTATTAGAAAAATCGTTTCATAAACTATTCATGTTTTTGTAGTAATGTGTATTTAATAGAATTTATGTACCTTTAATTTTATAGTACCTATATATAGAGGTACCTTGGCACCTCTTGGTTGTACTTTTGATTAGTTGGTATAATAAGAAAATCATTATCTATTTCTCTACTTCTTTCTCTAATATTTCAATTCCTATTATAGTAGTTTGTTTTATTAGTTTTATAACACGTTATCAGCACGAGTCTCTACTTTTGAGCAAAAAGTGATAACGGAGTCTCTAACAAAGGTGAAACACGAGACTTTGTCAAAATTCTGCTAGTGTCAAAACAACTGTTGGATATTTTCTCGAGTAACACTTGTCTACCTATTGAGGTAAATTTCTGACCCATAAACTTATTTCAATTTCTTATGGCTAACATTTGATTGATTATAAAATACAAGTGCCTATTGTTGAGCAACCACTAAACACAAACATATACTGTTTGACATCTTTGATGTAATATTTTTTCTTTTAATTCTACTTATTTATCTTTAGAATTATTTGTTGTAAATATTTATATTCTGATGCATTGAGTTTTGGAGATGCTATTATAGAAAATTAATTATGTTTAAAGATCCACTTGTCCTTTGAAATACTTTAAGAAAAAGATTCGACCACTTAAAATTGGTCGTTCTTTAACGAAAAGATTTGACCACCA